CCAGGAGAGACAAGCAATCCTGGCTCTATGCGCCTGTACTTCTAAAAGAATAGGAGGTTCCAGGAACTAAGAAAATTCGTACATTAGCACACATCCAAATGGTTTTAGGGCGCTCTGGTGATGTAAGAACGCTTTCTCTTCCCTAGCTCCGTAGAAGTTAGTGAAGAACTAGGCTCACCTAGTGGAATATGACATTTAGCCTTCCTAGATATCTGCAGGGTTTGGAAGTAAGAAGACCGGAGTGTGACTCCTGAATCCACCACTTACTAGTCTAATGTCTCTGGACCAGTCATCCAGGTTTCCAAATTTCCTTTTAAGATGAGAATGATAATATTCCCTACTTTATATGAGCAGCGAATGACTTAAATGAGACTGTGCATGCAAAATGCTTAGTATAGTGACCTTCAAGTAGTAACAGCTCCATAAATATCAGTGATTATTTTCAGTGGCTGGCATGCCTGCTGGAACAGAGTTTTGCAACTGGCTAATTGGACCAGATACCTATTTGTCGTGGGAGGTGGTTCTGTGTAGTGTATGTTTAGCAGTATCTCTGGCCCCTCTACCCACTAGACGCCAATGGCATCCCTGTCCAATTGTGACAATCAAAAATGGCTCCAATGAATGGATAAAGAAGATGTGGTCTATATATACAATGGAATATTATGCAGCCATCAAAAGGAATGAGATCTTGCCATTTGCAACGACATGGATGGAACTGGAGGGTGGTATGCTGAGCGAAATAAGTCAAACAGAGAAAGACATGTATCATATGACCTCACTGATATGAGGAATTCTTAATCTCAGGAAACAAACTGAGGGTTGCTGGAGTGGGGGGTGGGGTGTGAGGGATGGGGTGACTGGGTGATAGGCACTGGGGAGGGTATGTGCTATGGTGAGCACTGTGAATTGTGCAAGACTGTTGAATCTCAGATCTGTACCTCTGAAACAAATAATGCAATATATGTTAAGAAAAAAAAAAGAAGAAGAAGAAGGTAGCGGGAGGGGAAGAGTGAAGCGGGGGAAATCGGAGGGGTAGACGAACCATGAGAGACGGTGGACTCTGAAAAACAAACGGGGTTCTAGAGGGGAGGGGGGTGGAGGATGGGTTAGCCTGGTGGTGGGTATTGAGGAGGGCACGTTCTGCATGGAGCACTGGGTGTTGTGCACAATGAATCATGGAACACTTCATCTAAAACTAATGATGTAATGTGTGGGGATTAACATAAGAATAATAAAAAAAAAAAGAAATGTATAAAAGTAAAAAAAAAAAAAAAAAAAATGGCTCCAGACATTGCCAAATGTTCCCTGGGACAAACACATCCCTGGTTGAGAACCACTGTTCTGTATCTCTGCACCATTATGAGTGATACGACTAATTACAGTCCAATAGCTGCTTCGCCCTATTTGCTTTGAGCAATTATTAAATGCTGTATTGGACACATTCTGTTAGATTTTCTTTCATTTTAAACCTCACATCCATCCCTCTTCGATGGCATCGGTACCCTCTTCCTGCTTTGGGAGAACCACCCCACTGTATTTGTACCCTGTGTGCTTTGTGTAAAGTCCCCAGTATAGTACTTGACCCCTAGCGAATGTGATGGTCAATATATGGTAGGAATTTCTCTCTCTTCTATTGGCTGACGGTGTGAGAAGATCCCAAAGCTCTTGGAAGCCACCGTGCAGAGCCAGAGCAAAGCTCTCCTAGAAGAAACAGGACTGAGAGATGAAATCTATGGTCATTTAGACTCTGAATCAAGTCAAGCCTGATGCCATCTCTACCTCCTTGACCCTCAGTTATGTGAGCCAATGAATTTCTTTCCTGTTGTGTCGGTTTGGTTGATATGACTGTCTACTACATGCCAGGCATTATGGCAGGTTTTTGTGTAGGTCCTTCTTTAATATTCATGGCAATCTTCTGAGATACATAGTGTATTGTACCCATTTTACAGGTGGCCAATGGAGCTTAGAGGGTTAGGTCATTCCCTCAAGGTCCAAAGACAGTATGGGGTAGAGCTGCAATCTCATTTCATTTCCTCCACAATGCCCATCCAGTTTATTACACATGCCCCGGCGTCAGTCTTGGTGGGGTAGAGTGGGCCCACTGAGCAGGAATAACACTCAGTCTCAATTCTAAACAGAGGCTGAGAGTGAGCAGAACCTTGTCCAAAGTTTTTGGGGGAGATTCCTTGTGTTCTGGAGGGCAATATTGCAAAATCTTTGATGATGCATGTTGGATGCATGAAAACTATTTGCCTAACTCCTCTTCATTTATTGACATGAGATAGGGAGAAAATTCTATTAGTTAAAATGAAACTGCTTTGTTTTGAACACATTCAAAAATAGCCAAGGAAAAAATTATCTTCACTAATAAAGCAAGGCAGATATGAAACCGTCATGCTTGGGGGAACACAAATGATCTTATTATCCTGAGCATCTTGATGGTAACTATAAAAATTCATCTTTATTTGAGTTTCAGGCAAAATGTAAAGTAGTAATATTACCTTGTGTTTAACACTGTCTGTATCCTGCAAACTCAAGTCCTACTCCAAAAGTAATCATAATAAAATATCAAAGACACTACTAAGGGGAAGCTCAGCACCCTTTCAGATCATCTGCATGCATCATCACTGCTGTTATCCACAACAATCCTGCAATGAAGTTATGACTTGGATAAACTTACAAGGGAAGTTAAAACCTTTGTTCAAAGTCAACCGCTGATAAAGAACAGACATTAAAAACTAAGGCCTCTCTGACTCCTGAATCAGTGCTTCTTCCACCCCACCATGCTGTCTGAGAAATGAACAAGATCTTAAGAGCACCATCCCGACAATTTCCCTTCTGAGGACTCACTCTCCAGTTAGCACCAGCCCCACAAACTTGACCACTGAATAAGAATGGGATTCAGAAGTAAAGTGTTCTAAGTCCCTACAATATTTGAGACACAACACTGTGGGGTGTGGGTTGGAGGTACTGTACTCATCTAACAGCTGGAGATCTTGGACAAAGTACCCTAAAAGTCAGACCATACAAAGTACAAAGTCATGGAACAAAATGCTTTCATTTTCTGAGTCAGCACCTTATGGCTTTTGGTCAAAGGAATATTTTTGAAATTTATGTCTCCAATATATCCATAATTTTCATCCTTTTTTTTTTTTTTACCTGAGCTCCTGTAGTATCTCCCCATATGTACATCTGCCACCTCTATTCCATTGTCCACACACACACACACACACACACACCCCTGCTTAAAAATCTCTATGGTTTCCTATCACACTTAGGAGAAATATCAGTCTTTAAAATAATCTCCTAGATCCTTAGCAGTCTACTAGACTAATATGAATAAATTAAACGTTTGCAAGATGTGAGTAACATTAAAACCTGAAAGATAATGTCAAAAAAAGTTTAATATTAGTCATGAGATACTAGAAAAGTTTACTAAGGTTTTAACTTTCAGAAATTATGAGGGAAAGACATATTCTTCCTACTACTATTCCTATAAATCCAAGGAATAATTTAAAAATTTTAATGTTTGAATAAGGGCTACCCAAGATAGGCCCCAAATATCCTGATCAATGCAGAATTCTATTGTGCGTCGATACGAAACAGAAGTGGGAGATGATATGAGGCATATAATCAATAGAAAAGTCTACTCTTATCATAAAACATTTTTCATACATAGATTTCACTGGTAATGATTAATACATAAATAATTTCTGAGACCCAAACAGGGAAATATACCCACTTCCCCAAACAAATTCTGATCTTTCTACAGAGATGTTCCCATAAGGATAATAAACAAGTAATTCTGACAAAAGAACATTGCTCCGAAGATATATTTTTTTTTAAGTTTTATTTTCTAACATGAGGACTTTTGCCGTCTCTGGGAGATTCACAGACTCATTTATAACATTTCAATTTCCAGGTACTTAAAAATAAAACAGAATGGGAAAGAGCTGTTTGGGAAAGAAAGCTTAAAAACTTTTGAGGATAGTTATAGGAGAATCAAATGGATCATATTTCTGAAAAGCAAAGCTTAAATAATTGGGCTTTGCTTATGACAGAATGAGCACACTAAGTTGAGTAGAGCATTACTGTTATATATTCACACAAATTAGGGTCTTACATGTTTGGAACTCCTGTTTTTACTCTCCTTCTATCAAGTATTGTATCCCTGTCGGGAAGAACCATCCACTTTTACAAACAAACAAAAGATTTTTCAAAGTCACAAGCTGACTGCTTTAAACTTTAATGTAAATGTCAGGCCATGTTACAGAAGGACTTGTATTTCTTAAAATTTAGTCATTTAAAATTCTAAAATACAAAATTAATCTGCGGCATTTGAAAAAAAAAAGAGCCCAAATTCTGAGGGAGGAGGGTGGGTGAGGGGGAGAAAAGTGAGATCCTGATTAGATGAATCTCTTTGTAGCTAATGATCAACCCAAATATTATTGGCACCCTCTTCCCTTTCCAAAATTGACTTCTGAAAGGAAAAAGGGCAAGCCCTAGAAGGACTTATTGGGTATTGATTGCAATAAGCCAGTTCTAGAATCAACCTCCTAGTGTTAGCGCTATTCATTACACCGTGGATGGAACTCAATCAATGGCACCTTCAGAAATGCGTGGCCCCTCATACTGATAATCTACCATAGTAAGCCAACAAGGAAACATAAGCAGAATAACAATATGGATGTTTTCCAAACCCGAGAAGCTGGCCTGTGTTCAGCATGACCCAGGAAATGGTACATTTTCAGCCTTTTTACCTAATTCAACTTCAGTTTGTGGTACGGAATCAAACCGTGCAATGAAAATTCATGTCACATTCATGAAACATTAGAATCCCGCAGGGGAAATAAATCCATATTGAATAGATGACTCCTTTATAATATGCCTAGCACTGTAGGGTCATAGCTCTCCACGGTTGCAGAAGCATGCTTCAGGGTGGATCTGATATGCAACCCTGGGGAAAGACAAAAAAGTAGAAGAACAGTCTTGAAACTCACCTCCCTGCCTCAAAAGTGAACCAAGCAGCATCTCGCCCATACCGCCGCAGGGCGCTTAGCGGCCAAGAGATGAGTTTGACTCTGGGATTCTGGACGTCCCAAAGACAGATGTGCTCATATGTAATCTGCAAGGCACATTCGCCATGTACATCTAAGTTAGGGGATGGCATCAAATACACATTGAATCTCTCTGGGAGAAAAACAAAAGGTTAGTCTAAAATCCCGGGAATAAAACATCAAAGACATTGTAGGAACAAAGAGGCATTTCAAAAATAATTCTAGCCCATATTCTAGGTTTAGGTTGAACATTCAGGAAGATAAACCTTTCTCATAAATTCATAGTCCCAGAAAATGATTTTTTAAATGAAGACCATGTTAAGTAACATAATAATGTCACAGTCTGGCTGTCAACATACACTAAACACTATTTACATGAGCAAAGACCATTTTTAGAATTTTTGAATTTGCATAATAAAAAAAATTTGTATGCCAATAAAAGACTAAAGCAATGAAACCATTAAAAACAATTTTTTTCCTGCCAAGTACGTATTAATTACACCCACATTTTTGTGTTCACAAAAGATGCAGGTGCAAAATAATTGTCACATGATTTAATGATATTAAAGTTATACTGATCAACTCATAATTTTCATAACTAAATGAATAGAACTACATCCCAAATTATTTAAATAAAACCCCATGCTAATACCATGCACTTAACTGACCACCAGTTTGGGAAAAATCCAATGGATGTATTTGAATTAGTTTTAACAAGAACTCTCTTTAGCCAATTACAAATATCCATTTGCTTATTTGGATGACTGTTAATATTTAACCAAGATTACTCTCAGTAAATGACTTGGCTTATTACTGCAACCAAATTTCCATCCCCACAGACTCCATCACGGTATTTCTGTTATATTTCTAGAAAATTCATTAATTTAGGAAATTATGAGTCAAAACCTCTAAGCGAAACATGAGCAAAAATATTACTACACCAGACACATTTTCACCTATCCCTCATTATGGTAGATCGCCCATTATCTGACAAAACAGTGTGGCACTGATCTTACCAGTGGTATTCTAAATTAATTATTTTATAATAAGGAAGTCATTAGAATTCTTGTTGATTTTAGCTGAGTTGAGTAAATGGGAGTGTCATGACTGCATGATTTCATGGATCTATTTTTCCATATTTTCTAAAGTTATTTCAAACTCCCAATAACTAATTATTTGCTACTTTCTAGCAACTATCATTTTAAAAGTATATTCTAATGGAGTAAAATCTCTCCCAGGGTAGTTCTAGAATAAGTCAGAAAGACTGTCATCATTAAGTAAAAAGCAAGAGAGACCATTACCAATTCATTCACTTAAAAGTTCTTCTATAACTCTACTTCACTCAAGGATAACAACAGTAACAGTGGTAAGAGTAACTGCCTAAGTTACAATTACTTGAAGTCACGCAAATTAATATCATAAAGTGCCTTCAAAGACATAGGTGAGCTTTGTAATAATCCTTCCTAGTTATGTACCAGGGATATTCTTATTCCTATTTGACAGAAGAGGAAACTGAGGCACAGTTGGCCCGGTAAAGGGAACACCTAGGCACAGCCCGTTCTTGGATTCATTTGCAGCATGATTGGGATATTGCTTCATAAATATAAATTTGTGAAAACCAGGTGCTGATATGAGCACTCTAGATTTTAAAAAAATCAAAATCTATCATATTTTCCTCTTTATGTCTGGCTTCATATGCATCTGTCCATGAGGCACCACAGGTGCATCCTCTTAGCCTGGAGCATCCTGATTCAGGGAACTACACAAGCTAGAGCCCAGGGCTTGGTTGTATGACCTTGGAAAATGGCTTGGCTTCTCTACAGCTCAGCTTCCCAGTCTACAAAGAGACTTTTTGAATTAGCCAAGCACTTGTAAGTCTCAGTCAATAACATTTCCATGGAGATGGGTTATGGCAGATATGGTGCACCCAAAATAGTCCCAGCCTGTAAAGGTGTCATGAAGACAGAGTTCCAAGTGAAAGCAAGGGCATTTTTTATTAACAATTGGAGTGTGCACCCATGGAAAGGGTCAGTACATTCCACCTCTGCCACGCTCATTATCAAGCCAGTGGACCAGTGGCCTTTTCTGGTGTGTTCCATCCTCACAGATCAAGTCAATGGGCTACAAAAGAGCAGGACTCTGGGATCCAATCTGCCCTGTCACAAGGCTTGGTTACTTGGAAACGAAGAAATAATTCCTCACCTCCAGGCTCATACTGTAAACCAATACTGAGCTTTGCTGAAATGTTCATGGGTATTTTGGTCATTATTACCTAAAATGATTTAGTTCCATGTTGAGTGTTGAGCTCAAGGCGTTGGCTCAAGTGTTTAGTTAAAAAAAAAAAAAAAAAAGCACAGAATTAGGTAGGTTTAAACCTGAGAAAACAGTCATGAAGTTTGGATTCTATTAAAAACACTGGAAAGCTTTCAATGAAATACTTCTAATGAAAAACTTCAGACAAAAAAAAAAAAAAAACACAACCCATTATGTGGTAAAATCAGTATATTATGAATACAGGTCCGGAGTGTATCCAACATAAGCTGTTGGAATTAGCGCAAGAAGTGTAGCTCTTCTGAACGTCAGTCTCCTCATCTGTAAAAGGAGGGAAGGTATGGTGCCTGCTTCATGGAGCTGCCGGGAAAATTAAATGACCTAATGCACCTGCCACAGGACCTGGCACATTGCAGGTTTCCTCAGATTCCTAGCTGACGGTATTCATACAGATACATTCGTATTTGTGCATTGAAAACACATTAAGAAAAGAAACACATTGAAATAGTAACATAGGATCTGGGTCAACTAAAAGGTTCTTTTTACTTCCTTATACATTTTTTGTAACTTCAAAAATGTCACATAATGAAGATGTCTTATGGTGGGACAAAAACAGTGTTCAAGAGAGCAAAGGAGAGAATTTTCTTTACATACCACTCTGTTCTCTCTCAACCCCAGTAGCCAATAAGTCAGGCTCTCCGAGGCTGATGTCATTGATCCGCGTGCCCACACACTCCATCTGGAGTACTTTGCACCATTCATCGGCCTCAAGATCTGTGGAAATGTCCAAAAGATTAACATGCATGCCCAGCGCCTGCTTAAAAGCTAAAAGCAAAAGCCCTCCCTGCCTTGGACGAACCTGATTCACAAGCAAAGGTCTTGGAGGTATCATCATTGAAATAAATCCCTATGGCATGTTTCTTGGTGCTCTTTGGCAACCGAGCTACGTTCTTCACGTTGTTGAGCTCTGTAACCTGAAAAATGAACAATTGCAAATCTGATCACACTCCCTGAACGAACACGCCCAGTCAACACCACCACACTAAGGGAAGGCACAGTAAGTGGAAGGCACACCACACATGAACACCACTTGACCGAAAAGTGCATTTTTGAAAGCTGCAAATTATTTCTGTGTTTTCCTTAATACATAGCAAGGAATGCCAGTGAATTACCTTCCTTTTTATATTTTCTGAAGCATATTAGGCGGCATGAGCTCAAAACTTCACAGAGATAGAAAGCTCGTTTTGGTGTTTTTATCTCCCAGAAGATTCTCCCCAGTGAATAGTTCTCAGAACTATATCCCCATCTCCGTGGAAAGCCTTTCAAATACGCTAACCCCTCAGGGTACTCCCAGTGAAGGTAACTTACACCCATCCACCCCGAGAAAGGAAGGGAATGGTGGCCCAATTCATAACTGTGTCATCTCACTCTTCAATAATCAGGAATGGAGTGTCAGAAGTCCCAAAAATGCCCCTCTACTCGGGGTTCAAGTCCTATATTCCAAGACAGACAGTGGCTTTGTCCCATGCTTCCCCACTCTCTGGCTTACTCCCAGCTTCTCAGTGGTTTACAGGGCCTCTGTTTTAGAGTCTGCATGGCATCACCTTTTTCTTCCCAATAGGGAAAGCTTTCCCCATTAGACATACTCTCTTTCCTTCCTCTAACCCACAGTCACTTGGTCCCTGTTATAAACTTTCATAATGTTAACACTTGTATAAACTACTTCCCTCCCGCTAAGGGTATTGGCTTACTGTATTTCCAAAATGGCTGTCCCTCCTTCAGTTACACCCAGATCCCCTGCTGCATTCAAGGGTTGTGATGACTGGCTGCCTGAGAGAAGGCACTGGTGGCCTCAGGGTATTTACAAGATAAATAATGCACATTAACAAATTTAACCTCCCCTTAGTATATCTCTTTTATGTTATTTAAAAGAATATATCTCCCATCAGTCTTTGCCTTTAGCACTATCTCTCATCTTATTCTAGATTTAAGGAATGCCTGGTTCAAGAAATAGGGGAGGAGAGAAGTCAATATCCTCCACACATACCCTAACCTGATTCTTTCATTCCCCAACTTCTTAACCTCCATTGGCTCTCTTTATAGTATAAATGCAAATTTCTTGGCATAAAATATCTTAACAGTTGTTACTGACCAAATGCTTGTGGCTCCCCAAATGTATACGTTGAAATCCTACCCTTCAAGGTGATGGTATTAAGAGATGGGACTTTTGGAGGGTGATAGGTCTTGAGGGTGGAGCCCTACTGAACAGGATTAGTGTCCTTATAAAAGAGACCCCAGCACACTACCTCCTGCCTTCACCACGTGAGGACACAGCAAGAAGATGCCTCCTATGAACCAGAAAGCAAGTTCTCACCAGACACAAAATCTGCTGGTGCCTTGACCTTGGACTTCCCAGACTCTAGAACTATGAGAATTACATTTCTGTGGTTTAAAAGCTACCCAGTATACGGTATTTTTTATGGCAGTCCAAGTGGACTAAGACATCAGTGTCCCCCCAAAGCTGGCTAAAGCACTACCTACCTTAGTAGGTAACTTTAGTAGCTTGACACCACCGACTTTATTCTCTAGCTACTCCAAATCCCTCAGAGTTTACCAGATGCAACTGTTGATTTTTTGAAGATTTTATTTATGTATTTATTTATTTTAGAGAGAAGGAGACTGCAAGCAGAGGAAGGGGCAGAGGGAGAAAAAGAATCTCAAGCAGACTCTGCGCTAAGCACAGAGCCTGACATGCGGCTCAATCTCAAGACCCTGAGATTATGACCTGCACTGAAATCAAGAGTCAGATGCTTAACTGACTGAGCCATCCAGGCACCCTGCAACTGTTTATTTTTTGTCTATGTATTTTTGTACCAATATCCCAATCCAACTATTTATTGGTCTCTCCACTTCCATGTAACCTCATTAATTCACTGTAAACACAGCATCCAGAAGATATTTTCAAACATAAGTCTGATACCAGCATTTCTGTGCATAAAACAGAACACTGCAGTGACTTCTCATTGCACTTGGGACAAGCAGCCAAGCCCTTAGGATGACCATCAAGGCCCTCTGTAGTCTTCCTTAAGCTATCTTATCAGCCTCCTCTCTTACACCTTCCACATGAGTCCTAAGTTCCAGCCACACTGGCTTTTGTTCAGGCCCCAGAAGGCACCAGGATTCTCCTGGCACAGAGCCTTCCCTACACTCTCCTTACTTCGCTTACACCCACCTTATGGGTCTTAGTTCAAATCGCAGTTACCTGCAGAGCCCTTACTGGACACCCCCTATCCCTCCATCTAATCAGAGTCTCCAGGCTCTATCTTCTAATGACATCTTTACCCTCACACCCTCTGATGGCCATATAGGCCATATAGGCTATGGTTTAGTGCCTGTCTTGCCTCTAGAATGAAAATTCCCTAGGTTTTTGCTCACCACTGTGTCCCCTGAATCTAATACAGAGCCTGCCACATAGTGGGACTCAATGAATATATGTGAATTGATGAACAGAAGACCAAACACACCCACAAATTTACTTGCACAGGGCCTCTCCAAGGTGAATGCCTCTTTCTCCAGGGAAATTTCACTTTTCCTGCAAGGCCCACTTCCTTGGGGATACTTGCCCTGACCTCCGTGTCAAGTACTCGTTGCCTTCTCTCTGTTCCCATGTATGCTGTATGAAGCTTTGTTCTATTATCTGTGATTATAATTAATCCGTTGATCTCTCCAGCACCCAGCTAAACGTGAGTCACCTATCAATGACTGATGGACCGAATCAATGACAATCATCTGAGAGCCAACATTTATTGAGCATGCTCCATATACCACATGCTGTGCTTAGACTAGTCTTACATGTGTCTCATTTGATCTTCATAAACACCCTGCAACACAGATATTACTATCAGTTATTTTCCAGCTGAAGTAGCTATAGATGAGAAAGGTCAAAGTCATGCACTCAAGGTCACAGCAAAAAAATGGCAGAACCAAGTTTTGAGTGAGGCAAACTGACCCCAATGCCTGTGCTCTTCACCCATCTGAAATACTAAGGACTGACTCTAAGTCCTTTCAGCCCATAGAATCTTCAGCCTGGAAAGTCATCATATATTTGAGGACTTCTTTGTTTTCGCTGGTGTAGAGGAGGGGCAGGGGATTGAGGGGGGCAGGTGAAGTAGGGCGTGAGTGCCCCAGGCTTTATTCTGACCCTCTACTGAGACATTATATAAAAGTAGTCCACCCTAACCTGAAGCACAGCAATGACTTTGAAATATGTCATTTCATTACACATCCATTAAAGGTAAAGAGGAAGGAACGTCACCTGAAAGGGTCAGAAAATGTAGGGTGAATTGCATGAGTCAGAACAAAATTACCCATTTGGGAAATTGGTTTAGAGAATAAGCAACCCAACACCCCCGGCTCGGAGGAGGTGAGTGTTCACAGAGCAGGCAGGATTATGTTTGATGTGTCAAAGGGCTAGCAGGTTCTAACGCAGTTTCTGCCCCCAGTTCAGAACCACATCTCAATGAGCTCACGCTTGCCCACATCCCCACCCCCCACCACCCACATACACACTCCTTACTTTCAAAAGAATTGCAATCTATGCTAATCCATAATAGAGCCTTCCTCAAAATACATGCTAGAGTGAAAATTATAAGAATATTTGCAGGTATATTTATAAGTCACTTTAAAACCTGTGTAAGGCAGATTTATTTCCACCATTGCTCCATTTTGTAAATGAGAAAACCAAAAGCAGAATATATTTTTTTAATATTCCTTTTTTTTTAAGATTTTATTTATTTGTCAGAAAGAGAGAGAAGAGAGCACAAGGGGGAGCAGCAGAGGGAGAAGCAGCTCCCCGCTGAGCAGGGAGCCCAATGCTGGACTTCATTCCAGGACCCTGGGATCATGACCTGAGCTGAACGCAGACGCCTAACTGACTGAGCCACCCAGACATCCTTTCAACATTCCTTTTCACAAAGACATAATTTGCCCCTAAAGAATCACTTTTGAAGCATAGATTTTGATAAGGTCTCAGGTTCATGTGTAATATGAATGTTATTTTAAATGGGGGCTAATAAGTGTATCTGATCATCAAAGGTGACTGCATCAGGGGCACCTGAGTGGCTCAGTTGGTTAAGCATCTGCCTTCGGCTCAGGTCATGATCCCAGGGTCCTGGGATCGAGCCCCACATTAGGCTCCCTGCTCAGCGGGAAGCCTGTTTCTCCCTCTCCCACTCCCCCTGCTTGTGTTCCCTATCTTGCTGTGTCTCTCTCTGTCAAATTAATTAATTAATTAATTAATTAATTAATTAAATTTTTTTAAAAGTGACTGCTTTGGATCCTCAATACGACCTCAAAGAAGATGAGCTTTCAGGACCACAGGCAGGCAATACCTTCAGGTCACCTTCAGTTTGAATTTCTTGTCTTTTCCTTAGGTCTCAGATCCGAAGTTATTTCCCACCAAGTTCAAAACTTTTTAAGAAAACTCCCTCCTGAGCCTCTGTAGTCAGAGATTTTATTTTTCTTTCACAGTGTAAGAGAAAAGATACACCCTAAACTCTACATGAATTATACCATCTTTGTGTAGAGATTCACAAATAAAATGTAAAAATTTCTTCAAGGTGTTAACAGCATCAGGAGGGAGTGACTTAAACACAATTATAGGAGAGCCACATTTCCTCTTCAAGAATCTTCCTGGAATCCATTCACTCATCAAAGTTTTTAAACTCATTGTTTATTCATATTTATTTATTTTTTGTTTATTCTTATTTAAAGGGAGGAAATAAGCAAAGAACCATTTTACCAGGCAGGGATAAGGAAGTGCTATGAGGACAAACAAAGGTGTGAAAAAGGATTTCAGGGGGCTCAGGAGATTCTGCTATTTTACATAAGGGGGTAAGGATGCCCTTTCAGAGAAGGGATCATTTGAGCAGAGACAAAAAGATCTAAAAAAGTGAATCATATGAATAGCTGGGCC